GGCCAGATCCGGCCCTCAGGCCTTAGTTTGCCTACCCATGATATAAACGTTACATTTATATTATAGTGTAGTCTGTAGTATACTCTGCAGGCACAGGAGAGGGTAAACCTGTCTCCAGCCCAAGCCACTCCCATGGCCAGAAGAGGGGTAGGGGGTGGGACTTCCTTTCCCTGGAAGCGCCTAGGCTTGCTGCAGCTGCAGCTGCATCTTTGTTAAGGCGCAATATCTGTGAAGCGCAGTGCAATAAAATGAGGTGTGCCTTAGTAGTGGGCCTTATCATTCCTGTGAAAGAAGGAAACGGTGTTTCTGTCATGTACAGTGGTGCCCCACAAGACGAATGCCTCGCAAGACGGAAAACCCGCTAGACGAAAGGGTTTTCCGTTTTGGAGGTGCTTCGCAAAACGAATTTCCTATGTGCTTGCTTCGCAAGACGAAAATGTCTTGCGAGTTCCTGCGGGGTTTTTTTCCTTTTTCCCAAGCCGCTAAACCGCTTATCAGCTGATCGGCTAAGCCGCTTAACAGCTGATCGCTAAGCCGCTTATCAGCTGATCGTTAAGCCGCTTATCAGCTGATCGTTAAGCCGCTTAACAGCTGATCGCTAAGCCGCTTATCAGCTGATCCGCTAAGCCCGCTAAGCTGCTAATACTGTAGCGCTAATCCGCTAAACCGCTAATGGGCTTGCTTCGCAAGACGAAAAAACCCGCAAGACGAAGAGACTCGCAGAACGGATTCTTTTCGTCTTGCGAGGCACCACTGTATTCTACTTAGCGTTGATCCAGAGCAGAACTCCAACGTATAATTAGCAGAGTGAAAACTTAAACACGTTGCAAGATTCCCCGAAAAATAGACCAGAGGCAATTGTATTTCATCCAGCAGAGCTTTACTGCTACTGAAGGCAAGTGAGCATCATGGTGACAAATCCAATACATTCAGGATTTGAACTGTTCATAAGAAATCCAGTTGCAGCAGACTTAACTTAAGCATACAATAACTCATAAAAAGTCTAAACTTAAACACTATATGCAGAACACCACACCAGAAGGAAGAGAGATAGAAAAGTGTAAAACCCAGGCTCCTTCTGGTCTTATTATTATAGTCGGCATGACCTTGGCAGAAGAGATAAGAGAACCAGCTTAAGCCAGTTGTACTCGGCTTCTCTGAATGAATAACCCAAACATCAGGAACCTTCTGCTTGTTTCTTTCACACAGAGCAGCTTCCAGAACCCTCTTGAATTAATTAGAATAGGAAAGATTTCTACACATCAGATCAATACTTTATGTACTAAGAAATGCAAACTGACAATTTCTCCTTATTTTAATTTGCCTCTTGATACTTTTCTCAGTAACTTCTGGTGATATTGGGGAGAGGGGTGGCAGAGAGCTAGATAGTGATGTAATAAGCTACGAAAAAGTTTAGGAACCTGATAGGTTGACCTGTACACGCTGTGACTGACAATGCTACAGTTAGCAGAAGATTTGCTCCTGTACCCCCAGTGAAAAACTCTGTTTATTGCAAAGCATCCAGCTGCATCGCTATTAGTACCTCTACTTTAAATTTGCAATAAATAAATGCAGCATTTGTCAGATTTCTGTTAAGGGTTTCTCACCTCTGATGTTGTGAATTGCTTTTGTGCAGCTGATGGAAAATGTCTGGCGTCTATTGGGTTAGATGACAATCATACCATCGTACTCTGGGACTGGAAAAAAGGAGAAAAGATGGCAGCAACCAGGTAAGAACGTTGTCACGCAGGCATGCTCTCTAACAGCTTGAGTTGCATGCATATATTTTTTTCAGGTCCAAGTTTTAGGATGCTGTTTTTGTTAGGATATTTCCATTCCACCTTAAAAGGGAGCAGGCTTTGTGAGTCACAGAGTCTGCGCATGTCCTGTTCACAGGATGTTTATGTTTGCTATTGCTTTCGTTTCTCTCTCTGTGTCGTAGACACTAAAGCAGGCAGTCATGTTTTTCTGTGTTCTGATCAACGCTGAATAAACTTGTAAATAATGCTCTCCTGAGTGCGACTTTGGCTGTGCATTATCTGCTGATAGAGTGTGCATGAGCTCTGGAATGTGGCAAGCTATTTCTAGAAACTCATGTCACTAATTGTTGATACTGCGTGCCTACGGGAGGTTGATGGATCGTCCAGCAGACGGCTTGGGGGCCATGATGGACTTTATCTCCCAGGCAGTATCCCAACAACAGGTTATGGGCCCAGATTCACAGCACTTACAGGAGAGTAAGACTGCGGCAGACTGCTGAAAGGTATGTGGAAGAAAAGCGAAAGTGAGGCTTTTCTGTTTGCCGCGGCAAGGGCCTTTGAACTCCGGCAGACTAATGGATCTGGGAGCCGCGCCAAAGGCTTTGTGATTAATGAGCTGCCGAGATAAGACGTTTCTGAAGTGAATAAGACTCACGGCTCAAGTAAAAGGCTGAGATGGAGCTTTCCACCCCCCCTCTGGAGGCTGGAATGCTGCCTGGGATGACGTGACAGTCAGTTTTAAGAGATCAAAATTCCACCTTCCTCCCATACCTTAAACCTGTATGTTTAGACAAGAGAGAGAGAGGAAAATTGTGATTTTCTTCAATGCCCCACCTTCTCACATGCCAGATTTCTATGCATTGATTAGAGCAGAGCTTTCCAAACTGTGTGTCGCGACATGTTAGTGTGTCGGCTGCAGTGTGTAAGTGTGTCACACGAATGCTACCCATGCTCCTCGTGGGGCTGGAAAAAGGTTAGTTTAACATCTGGTTTGCTAATAAAAGTGAATTACTGTGTTGCGAAATGATGCATGTCTAAAAAATGTGAGACCAACATGAAAAGTTGTGTGATTGGTGCACTTCATGGCCCTGTTCACACCAACAAAATATGTAGACTCAATTCATGGAGGGGTATTTAATCTTGAATGACATATTGATCTTTTTACCGATCGACACCTGCATGTTCACTAGTATTCCACCTATGTTCATTCCAGATGTTGTTGCTTTGTCCTAACTAGCAAAGGAGGTACATCTTGTTGTTTTGTTTTGCTGTATTCCCCAGCGTTAATAATGGTAATAACATTTCCAGCCTTATATATTATTATTATTATTATTATTATTATTATTATTATACCTGGGGGTCTCAGGGCGGTTCACAGAATAAAATCAAGATATAAAACCGCAAAATACATAATAAAAATAAAAACAACAACCCAGTTACCCCCTTATAGCTTACATTCTTGGTCCCTGCCCCCCATTCTTGCGTAAGTTTGTGATGAACAATATAGATCTTTGCCTATATTAATTGTGTACAGAATAATTGTAAGTTGATTGTTGGACCTCTCTATCTCAACCCTTACAAGGGGGAGTTGGGTGAAATTGGGGGGGGGGGTGTCATTATGTGAATGGAGGAAACAACTTAAATTCCACCTGTTCTGCCAAAGCAAAATGTTTTGGTGGTAGAAAATAAATAGATTTTCAAGTCTGATAATGTCAGACAACCTCTCCTGGGCCCACTCCCATCTTCCCCATCTCAAATTGGAATACATATTTTTAAATTTTCCATTTGTTGCCTAGGAGTTTATCTGTTAACCTCGCAAGGGCTAAGAAGCTTTTGTGATTGCCTGAACGCTCGAAGTATTCAGGAACAGTTTGGTCACTTATCTAATTGGTTCTCTAATGGATGTTCTCATTTCCACTATTAAATAGAAGCTTCCCTTTTTATAAAATAAGGACTGCGCCCAGGCAAATCATGGATCTCAATGATTTCTTTCAATGCAGTACACTTGCTTTGTCTATTATTAAGCAGTAGTAGGGTGTGTGTTTTTATCTCTGTATAAAGTATTTGGCTGAAATCTTGCATACAGTTGAACTGTGTTACATGCTGGTTCAAAACACCCCAAAACACCTGAGCTTGAGTCCTTTGCCCTCCAACCAACAGCGAGGGCTGGGTGGGTTTTTGAAACGCACCCCAGGTCGTCCCCCCCACTGTTGATAATGGACAAGACATCAGAGTTAATTCAAATGGCAGAGCGTTGACATCCCATTCGGTTAATCTGCTGCATCAATGTGTCTTCTGTAAAGTTAGAATCCCCTTTGAATTTAAGTTTAGTTTTTGAGCCCATACTTTAAAAACACCTCCAGGGACCTTGCAGAACCCAGAGGTGGCAAATGCTCTTAACTTTTTTGCAATGAAAGCTACATTTCTCATGCATGGGCTGCCATATCCCTTTGCAAAGATGGAAAGGCAGAGCCTTTCAGCTCTTCTCCTCCCCGTACAACTACCAGCCTAATAACTTCTTGCAAATATTCTAGCAGTATTGTGATGATTTAAAACTTTGTGGGGCAAATCCCAGGACCCACTGAAATAACTAACATGAATTAATCAAAATCTATATTTCATGCCTTATTTCTGTTGGCTTTAACTGTTCTTTGAAATATGGTGTTAATTTTTGCCCTTCTAATTATCCATCTAATGTGCTGCAATTACTTATCACGGATCTTCCAGTCCTCCTTCTGAGACTGCTTAAATATTAATAGCAACTTGCTTATCGCCTAGTGGTTTAAATGGTGCTCTTTATAGCTCTCTTAATTAATTTGACCTGTGTCCCCTTTCCCTCTGTTATCTTGAATACATTGAAGCACAGCTGTGTGGGTTTTTTTTACCCCCTTATGAATTACTTTGCCAACCATTTCCTGAAAAATTCTCTCCATATGAAATAGAGTCTGCTCAAGATGGGGAAGATTTGCTGAATAAGAGTTATGTAGCATTGTTTCATTTGGTCAGATCCAGTTACTTTCCTGTTAGACTGATATGCAGGGGACGTCCGTAATAGTCCGGAACAGCCTTTCTCAACCTTTGGGTCCGCAGATGTTGTTGAACTACAACTCCCATCACCCCTAGCTAGCAAGGCCAGAGCTCAGGGATGATGGGAGTTGTAGTCCAACAACATCTGGGGACCTACAGGTTGAGAACCACTGGGACTCTGGAGGCTGAGTATCGCCATGATATTTTGTAGCTGTCACTTCTCGGCCTTTTGGCTAAGATCAAGTGTAGCATCTTGTAACCACTGATGGACTTAAGCGTAACTGCTGCCTCCCATGTTGTTTTTGCTGAGTTGTGACCTCTCTGGGGGTCTGGGCAGTGTTTATGGAGGTCCTGAGCCGCCCAGATGACATGGGGGTCTGGGCAGTGTTTATGGAGGTCCTGAGCCGCCCAGATGACAAGACCCTCCCCCCGGTCTTTCTGATGTGGTCCAAAGGAAAGCAGAGCAATACATTTGACACCATATTGTCTGCAGGAGTTGCCAGAAGGAGGTGTACAAGGAGCCATCCAGGGAGGAATATGTGTAGGGTTTTACTCCTTAGCATTTTCTTCTCCTGAAGATAGCCCTCAAGTTTGGGATCAGAGTTTTCCTTCTCCAAGGAAGGTTTTCTTTTCCTCAAGAAATTGTTGTGAATAATGCTGAAACGACTTCCTGTAGTGTCTGCCTACTAAACTAAGGATCCATACAGTACAACTCCAATAAATGTCCCCATTCCTGTTGATTCTGTTCCTGTTCATTCACACTATTATTTCTATGATTTGGGGTGGGTATGCTATTATCTCATGAAACAGTGAATACATAATTGACCAGACCCACAATGAGCTTCACTGAGCTCTGCTAACCTGTCAGTTTAAAATACTGATACAGTGGTACCTCAGATTATAGACGCTTCAGGTTACAGACTCCACTGACCCAGAAATAGTACCTCGGGTTAAGAACTTTACTTCAGGATGACAACAGAAATCGTGTGATGGCAGCAGGAGGCCCCATTAGCTAAAGTGGTACCTCAGGTTAAGAACAGTTTCAGGTTAAGAACGGACCTCCAGAACAAATTAAGTTCTTAACCCGAGGTACCACTGTACTTTTTTGCCAGTTACCTTCACAAAGGATGGGAACAAAGAGATAGCTTTAACTGTGACTGTGATCCATAAGCCGTTATGGATAACTCCGGTTTGTTCCCTGTTCCCTTTTGTTCATTTAAATTAAAACACTTCTATAGTGTCTTTTGTGTGTGTGTGTTTTAAAAAAATCCAGAATTCACAAAAATATCAAAACAGATTCAATAAAATTGACATTAAAACAAAAGTACAGGAACTAGGAAAGTTTTACAAAGGCTGGATATCAATGACCAGAAATTCTTGGCCAAACATGTATGTTTTTAGCAAGTGTTGAAAACACACTGCAACTGGCAGTTTTCCATGGACTAAAGGTAATTTAGCAGTTTAAGAGAATTAACAGGACTGGAGGAATTCTAAGAGGAGTGAAACTTACCAATATATTTTGATATGAATCCTGTAGAGTAGGCTTCCTCAACCTCGGCCCTCCAGATGTTTCGAGACTACAATTCCCATCATCCCTGACCACTGGTCCTGCTAGCTAGGGATCATGGGAGTTGTAGGCCAAAAACATCTGGAGGGCTGAGGCTGAGGAAGCCTGCTTGTTTTGACGGACATCTGCTTCCTTCCTGCACTTGCTGCATGAACTGGATTCAGCAATATTTAATATGTCATAGATCATATTGATCATATTGAGATGGATCTGTCTTCACTCTGCAGGCTGTGCTAACTTCTCAGAGGATGTTAGAACTCCATTCAGTCATAGCAGATAAAACCAAAATGGCTTGTCAGAGGGACTTAATTCAGACTTTTCTGACCTCGCTTCCAGATGACCTGTTTTTTGACTATTCATCCTGATTCATTGCAAAAAGTTTGCAGGGAGTTTGTGTGACTTCTGCTGTTTTTTGAGCGTTCATTCTGATCTATGCAACTTTGCATCAAGTGATTGGTATTCCATATTCCCCCATCTCCTTCCTTGCTGTGAAAAAATGGAGGGGGGGAGCAGGTTTGTTGCACAAGAGCACCAAAATAGTGCAAAATAGTGACAGTTTCAAGCCCCTTAAGACTACAAGAACCATTTTCATATACCGTATGAGTTTTAAATCTTTCTGTTTGGATCGGCAATAATAGGGATGTAAACCTACAGCAACCAGAATGTATACTAAATTTCTCTTCAATGTCTGTCTTGCAGTAGCAATGCATAGTACACCTGTTTAGTTGTGTCCTTTTGTTGTAAAACAGGTCTGCTGCTGTCACAACTTGTTAGAGTCTAAGGCTTGCTTATTGTTCAATAAATCCCCATTCAACTCATCTTTCTAATTTCTAAAAAAATATCCCAAAGCAGTGCCTTCTTTTGTATGCATTTTTTTAAAAAAACACACACACATCTCACAATGCACCAGAATCTTTAAATAAAAAATAAATGGCTAGACAACTCATGTATTCTTTACTCTTTAATTCATTGCAGAGGCCATAAAGACAAGATATTTGTAGTGAAATGCAACCCCCACCATGCTGATAGACTGGTAACCGTTGGAATGAAACACCTCAAATTCTGGCAGCAAGCAGGTATTGTGTTGCATTAAGAATGTTTAATGGTTATTGTATTTGTTTAGAAACAAATAAAAATTAGTTTTTTAAAAAAAGAACATAAGTTATTTCTTCCCCTTGGGCCATTCCATGCTGTTCACAAGTCTGAGCCTTTCTCTTGACCTACCTCTGCTGGAAGTCATTCCTTTAGTCACACACAGGATGTGAGCTGGTGTGCCCCTACACAACAGATTCCCAGTTAAGTTCCTCTGATAGCCAAAGCAGTTTTTCAAACCACCATACTCAAGGGTTGTTGGCACTCGTTGTGTGAATTGGTGTCAACAGTGTGCAGGGCTCTCAGTTTTGTCAACTAAGGAGTATCTGAAAGTACAGTGGTACCTCGGGTTACAGACGCTTCAGGTTACAGATGCTTCAGCTTAGAGACTCCACCAACCCATAAATAGTACCTCGGGTTAAGGACTTTGCTTCAGGATGAGAACAGAAATCGTGTGATGGCAGCTGGAGGCCCCACTGGCTAAAGTGGTACCTCAGGTTAAGAACAGTTTCAGGTTAAGAACGGACCTTCAGAACGAATTAAGTTCTTAACCCGAGGTACCACTGTACCTTCACAAGGCGTAACAGGGCAGGAGCCATCATTAGGCCGTTCATCTCTCTCACACACACACACAATTATAATAATGCTTGTTGCTCTGTCATCACAATTCAGGTGGCGGTTTCACCTCCAAGCGTGGCATCTTTGGAAATATCGGGAAGCAGGAAACCATGATGAGTGTTTCGTATGGACGAATAGAGGACCTTGTTTTCTCTGGATCTGCCACAGGAGACATTTACATCTGGAAAGATATTTTGCTGCTTAAGACGGTGAAAGCTCACGATGGGCCCGTGTTTGCCATGCATGCCTTAGATAAGGTATGTATGCCTTGCGTCACCACCAGATACAGTGGTGCCCCGCAAGACGAATGCCTCGCAAGACGGAAAACCCGCTAGACGAAAGGGTTTTCCGTTTTGGAGGTGCTTCGCAAAACGAATTTCCTATGTGCTTGCTTCGCAAGACGAAAATGTCTTGCGAGTTCCTGTGGTTTTTTTTCCCTCCCCCCCCCCCTTTTCCCCAAGCTGCTAAACCGCTTATCAGCTGATCGGCTAAGCCGCTTAACAGCTGATCGCTAAGCCGCTTATCAGCTGATCGTTAAGCCGCTTATCAGCTGATCGTTAAGCCGCTTAACAGCTGATCGTTAAGCCGCTTAACAGCTGATCGCTAAGCCGCTTATCAGCTGATCCGCTAAGCCCGCTAAGCCCGCTAAGCCGCTAATACTGTAGCGCTAATCCGCTAAACCGCTAATGGGCTTGCTTCGCAAGACGAAAAAACCCGCAAGACGAAGAGACTCGCGGAACGGATTCTTTTCGTCTTGCGAGGCACCACTGTATTCTTTGTTTGGCTTTCGAATTTCAAAACCATAGCCACGTACCTATCTCATTTCATATACCTATCTCGTTTCAAGCTCACCCCATGCGCACACAAAACAGACACAATTTCACGTTGGCATCCTTGGGGTTTGGATGCCCAGGAATCATTTGCTGCATCCTACAGCAGTGATGGGACGCAGGTGGCACTGTGGGTTAAACCACAGAGCCTAGGACTTGCCGATCAGAAGGTCGGCGGTTCGAATCCCATGACGGGGTGAGCTCCCGTTGCCCGGTCCCTGCTCCTGCCAACCTAGCAGTTCGAAAGCACGTCAAAGTGCAAGTAGATAAATAGGTACCACTCTGGCGGGAAGGTAAATGGCGTTTCCGTGTGCTGCTCTGGTTCGCCAGAAGCGGCTTAGTCATGCTGGCCACATGACCCAGAAGCTGTACGCCGGCTCCCTCGGCCAGTAAAGCGAGATGAGCGTCCCAACCCCAGAGTTGGTCACAACTGGACCTAATGGTCAGGGGTCCCGTTACCTTTACCTTTACAGCAGTGATGCCAGTGGAAATTACTTGGCTGAATCAGTTCTAAGTTCTATCAAGCCTTATTTACAGTACAGTGGTGCCTTGCAAGACAAAATTAATTTGTTCCGTGAGTTTTTTCGTCTAGTGAATTTTTCGTCTTGCGAAGCACGAAATCCCATAGGAATGCATTGGAATTCAATTAATGCGTTCCTATGATCAAAAAAAGTCCAAACAAAGCCAAATTTGGTACAACAAGAGTTTATTAAGTGCTCTTTAAAGTCACACATACTGTAAAGAGCATTTGAAAAATTGAAGAAACAATAAATTAAGTTTCTAAACATGACAGAAAAACATTTAAAAATCAACAAAGTGTACAGTACATTTTCTAAGACTCTGGGGACAACTCGAAGAAGGTTCCTCTTCCACTCTTTGCTTCTTGCTGAAGAACCCCCTCCTCAACTGTTCCCCCAGCCACCCACCACACAGAAATTCAAATCCAGAATTTTTTTTAAAAAACAGCAGAGTGGCCCAATGGTCACAGAAAATCATAAAAATGCAGAAAAATACCACACAAGCTTCCAGATTCTTGCAAACCCCTCCCCAACACCAAGTCCTTGAATTCCAAACACCCCAACCCAAAATCCAAAACCCCTCAAAAAAAGTTTTAAAAGTTTAAAAGAAGTTTTGGAAAAGCTTCAAAAATCACCAAAGTCTTCAAAAAAGGCTACCACACCGCGTTCTATGAGTTGCTCCTCGAAGTCAAGTCGCAACTGTATTAACGGTGTTAAGAAAAAGGAAAGAAACTTGCAAGACGTTTTCGTTTTTCGTCTTGCGAA